TACGGTACTTAATTCTACATACAACAACGGCAGCAAGAATAGCATACGCACAGTTCTGGAAAAATGAGAATATACCATCAGAGGAAGAAGTGATAAAGAAAATCCTGGACTGTGCTGAGATGGACAAATTAACAAAAGAGATAAAAGAAAAGGAAGACACAGAATACTATTTAATATGGAACAAGTGGTATGACTGGCTAGAGAGTAGAAATAAGAGAGAATAAATGTGGAAAGGTTAAAAGTGGAAAATGTGTGTATAATAATGTATGAAGGAAGAAAAATGCAAATAAGAAATAATGGGGCAATAAGGACAAATACTCTAAAGAAGAATAAGGGGGGAAATGTAAATAATAGAAGATTACTGTTACGAAAATTGCTGTTAAAATATATACTGTGTATATATGTGTATGATGTTTTGTTTTGTTGGTTTAAATAATAAAATTTTAAAAAAAATTCTCTCTGTGTAAGTAGGAGTCATTTCCCATGGCAGGTAAGGGAATTCTGGGAATTGAAGCCCACATATCTTAAACGTTGCTGGGGTTGAACAACACTGCAGTAAACTACGACAAGAGTGACAGTGGAGTCACACCGTCGGTTGTAATGCAGTCCGTTCCCCCCCCCCCCAACCTGTCCCTCTCCAGTTGTTTTGGGCAGCGGGTCTACATTATCCATAGTCAGCACTGGAACCTGCTCGGGATGATACGGTTCCATGGTTGGGAATCTAATGTCCGTGACTGCGGGAAGAGTTTGGAGCGGCAGCCGTAGGCATCCCGAGTCATCAAAACAAATCCGGCTCCTTTAAATGCGACGTCCTGAGGATAAGGAAGAGGGCCGAGCAAAGCCAGCGGCGTAATGCGTACGGCGCAAAACTTTCAGAATCCCCTCCTCCCTCCCCTCCCCTCCCCTCCCCCCCGCCTCCCAAAGGAAATGTCACGCTCATACGTACTTCCGGTTGAGAGCGAGCGTCGAGGGTAGAAAGAACTTCTTTCGCACGGCAGCGGGGAATGTTGTCAAGGCGCGTGCGTGTTGGCTGGGATGAATGTCGGGTTTTCGGGCGTGAGTTTTTTAACACGGCCGGAAGTGTCCAGAGAGCCCTGAGCGGAGCGTTCGATTTCTCTCTCCCCTCACTCCCGGCGGGCGCTATGGAGCCGGGCGCTTGAGGGCGGAGCGGCTGCCTTTTTACCCCAGACATGTCAGCCGGCCATCTCGATGCAGGTAAGCGCCGAGGGGGTCCTCTGCCCGCTGACTACACCCCAGAAGCCGTGGGCCGTCTTGGCTTGGTCGGGCCCTGCATCGCCGGGCTCTGACCTCTGCGCCGCATTCTGGCCTTTTCTTTTCTTCTGGGATTGGAGGCCTTGAGGCCGAATGCCTTTTCGGGAAGATGAATCCTGGCGAAAGACTCCCGGCCTGGGCGTCCCTCCACTTCCGCGGGGCTGCCGCTTCATGGCGCTGAGGCTCCGGGATGCGCTTGAGATGGGGAAGCGGCGGCTCCTGGCGTGCACGGGTGGGGCCGCTGCTCGGGAAAAGTGCTCCCTGCGGGAAATGAGCCAGTCTTCTCATGAACTTAGGGCGCGGGAAGCTGGAGCTAGGCCATGTCTGAGCCGAGCACTTTCCATTCCGAATCATTCCCACCTCAGCGATCTGAGTAAACGATTGCACTCGGGTTGGTTGCAGCTACTCGGAGCAAGCAACCTGTAGAGCAGGGCTGAACGACGAGGAGCGAACTATGGGCTCGGTACTCAGCCCAAGCATATCGTGAGAAAGACAATCAAATGCCCTCCAGATGGTTTGGACTTCATCTCCCATCAGTCCCGCTTAGCCTAGCGAATAGCAAAGGATTGTGGGAGTTGTTGTTCAAAATATCCGGAGGACACCAGGTTCCTGTATTTGGGGTAAGCGGTTTTTAATCAGGCATGTCTTTCGCTTTCCTTCGTTTGTAGGTGGGGCTGTTGCTGATTTATTTTTTAAAGGATATTTCTCTCCAACACAACACAATGCATTGGCTAATTGAAATAGCATTAAGAATGATGTTCTCATTTACTCTCTGCCCTGAATATATTAGTTGCTATTTTAATATTTCTCCAAAGTTTATTAAAAAAAAATATTATACTGTTTTAGTTTAGGATTATATTAAATACAGAGTGCAAGAAGTTCTGCAAAACACTGTAAATGATAAGAGGAAATGATAAGTATGGGGGAAAACATACCCTTCCCTAGTGCACTACGGTACTTAGCTTACGGGAACAGCTTTAGTTTATCATTAGAGCTACTTGTGTTACTTTCCTCCAAATCTTGTAAAGATTTAAGTCCTTCTGAAGTTAACCATAGAACTTATATGAAAAGGCTTCCATGTTTTGCCCACAGCAGGTGGCAGCACCTAGCTGATCTTAGCTGATCTCAAAAAAACCAATTGGACTTGATTAGTACTTGGATAAGAGACCACTAGGAAACTCCAGGGCTATAGAGTAGACTGGGGAATTTAAAAAAAATCATCCTTAAAGATGATAATGGCAATCCCCTTTTATTCTGTTGTAAAGAAAGCCACATGAACATATTCCCACAGCATCACAAGTCAAACTTAACCCGAGGAAGTGTCTTTTTGTTGCTGTTTCTTATTTTATATCCTGTCTAAGGGTGAGCAGGCATGAATTCACTGAATTCCTGATTTTTCCTATAAGTTGGTTTGAACTGTTTCAGTGAGAGTGCTCCATTCTTGTCCTCTGTGAACACCATGTATTCTATCCAGGTATTGATCATATGCCAATATGTTGATATTTGTACTCTGTAAAGCCTCCAAACTCCGTTAATTCAAAAGGATGATGTCTAACATATTCTTTATACCTTTTTAAAAACTTTCAGAAGTGTTTATCACTATTGCTTGATTTAAAATCTTGGGGCTTCTATTTGTTGCATCTATTTAGAGAGTGTGTCTTCTCAGCATCTCTACCATAGTACTGACTGATATTTTATACTTAACACAAAAGGCCCTAGAATTGTATGATGAACATCTTAAACCAGACATGTCAAACTGCCGGCCCACGGGCCGGATGTGTCACGCCAAAACCACGCCCACCCCATTGCCAGCAATAGGGAAAAAGTCCCGAACCTTGCGCAACGTCACATGACATCACGAGTTTGACATGCCTGTCTTACAGTCACTGATGTCATGTTCCTCTTATACTGATTCTTAAATCTTTGTAGCTAGATTTGTTTTCTGGCTTTCTAGCTATAATTTAGTATTTTCTGAAGTGCAGCCTATTTTGCTGAAAACTTGTAGGCAACTATAGTTTAAGAATATACAACTGTATTTCTGTGTTAAAGCAATGTAATTGTATGGATTTCTGATACATATATGAATTACCCCAAAAATAAGCTTATTGAAGATTATATAAAACTTTGCCATATGAAAATAGAGTACAGAATATATAATTGAACATCATACCATTTCATTTCATGGACTAACTTGCAAAGAAAAAAAGTATGCGGACCCCGAATGAATGATGATAAAAGAGGCTTTTTTGCATGTATGGGTCAAACAGTGTAGTTGTAAACTTAACGCCATCTGAATTTTTTTATCCAGAACTTAATAATCCTTGGATAAGTTGATGTATGTTTCTTTTTAAAAATTTTAAATATATAATCTTTTAAGATTTCAAGGTGATTTGCTGCAAATTTTTTCTGTTTTCCTATTGGTTTTGCAACAAGGTTTTGGTGAAAATTTGGGGTGAGGGTTGACTGTGCCATGGCTCATAGTACTAAATAGAGATTGGATATTGTTTTTTCCAGAACTAATCTAACATTAAAACTGGACTCTTATAGTACATAGAACCATTGTTTGTTGTAGTTCAACCTGCAATATTTTCTTTTGAGCCTAGGGATTTAATACTTGAGAATATTTCTCTATTGATAAAATCATCTGTGCAGTTTCTGGATTTGGCAGTACTGAAATTTTGTTCACTATCATTAGAATAAAAAGCAGTAAGAAGCAAGGTGTATATGTGGAAGAGTTGTGGTGGCACAGTGGTTAGAATGCAGTACTGCAGACTAACTCACTGCTCACTCCAGGAGTTCAATTCTGAACAGCTCAAGGTTGACTCAGCCTTCCATTCTTCTGAGGTTGGTAAAATGAGGACTCAAATTGTTGGGGGCAATATGCTGATTCTGTAAACTGCTTACAAAACACTATGAAGCAGTATATAAGTCAGAGGTCCCCAACCTTTTGGGCACCAGAGACCGGTTCCATGGAGAAAGGTTTTTCCACGGACCGAAGAATGTGTAGTTTTATGTGCTGCTTGCATCCCATGGATGAGGCTTTCCTTGTTTGTGCGGACCGATTGCTGGCATCCCGCGGTCCAGTACTGGTCCATGGACCGGGGGTTGGGGACCCCTGATATAAGTCTAAGTGCTATTGCTATATTGGTCTTCCATTTATGAGATGGAGAAGGAGAAAATCTATATGATCTCTAGGAGTCAAAAACTTGATAGCACATAATCTATGAAATGATCTGTCTCCCCCCCCCCACTGAATTATGTATATATCCCCAGACACCCTCTTGGGTTGTGACTATGCACGCTCTCTTTTATCTTGGGGAGATGATTGGTTTTCGGTAAATATATATAGCAGGAGTTAAGATCTGTGGGTCACCAAATATTACTGAGTGATGAAGGATGCTAGCGGTGCAGCAATATTTGGATGACCATAAGTACTTGTTCCCTTGCATAAAACTGTGCATTGTGTACAGTGTGGGCTAACCACATTTTAAAAGAAAAAAGGTGACACAATAAAATCCAGTCGAGTCCTATCTTTATTTTCTTCTACCTAATGCGTAGAATCTTTCCATGCTAAAATTATAACCTTCTAACCTAGTAGATATATCCTAGGAAAATGTGGGGTGTGGCACCCTGAATTCTTTCCCCTCCCCCATCTAGCTTGAGATTGTGCAGTCTCTTGATTTGACTTCTCCCTGATGGAATGTACTCCCTGGGAAAGCTCTCCCAAAACTCTTCACTGCTCCTCCAGGTGCACAGTCCATCACACCAGGTGCTCTCTAGCTCTTCATGTTCTTGATCTGCTGTTAGAAGTCTGCAACTGTGATGGTGATTGGTTTCTGTTCTGGAAAATTACTGTGCTCTGCTCTGAGGTCCTACAGCCACTTTATACTGGTGTTATGTGTCTTCTCTTTCTCCCATATGTTCTTCCAGTACTATTCTGCTGTTGGTACCTCTGTGGCTTCTGTGTTGTTGCACTGCAGTTGGGAGTACACCTTGGATGGTTCTTTGGAGAACAGAGCATTTCTGTTCTTGACCTCTGCTTCTTTAATATGTCTCCTTAGCCTGATAGCCAGTGCTATGAGCCTTTGTCCAGCAGTCTCTAGAGCTCCAGATACACTTGTATTTTTTCAGTAACCAAGTCTTATCCTTAATCCTCATATCCTTCTGTAATTCCACCAGCTGCCTAACCTCTCTGAGTTGCATTAGCTTTTTTTAAAAATTTCCTTTTATGAAGCTTATGTAGCTGTAATTTTGAAGGCCAGCAAACATTCTGCTGTCCAGGCAAACTATTGTCCAATTTCCTTTTTAAATGTTAATGCCAAAATTTGGCATTGAATCTTGTCACATAGATTACAGACACCATTACATTTCATTGTTGATTCTAAGCAGCCTGGTTTTGAAAAAGAGCAACAAACCTTTGATATATTGGTAATAGTTTTTCTTTAGAGAAAATTGAAATAATCAGATCTTGTTGGATGTAAACAAAGCCTTGTACATATTTCAGTGAAAATTTTGGGATTATATCTTAGTCAAACATGGTTTTTCTTCTTTATTAATTGGATTAAAATGTGATATTTTAATTATTTGGCCAGGGTCAGTAGAAAAGGAATTATTTCCTCATCAAGATACTTCTTTGAATCTTCAAGAATACCAATTATCTTCTTGTATAATTAGGTACTGATAGGATATATTGGGCATAAAAGTGGTTGGAGTCGAGAGCAAACTTTTTTAATTATGAAAATTATATATCCAAATACATTAATAATATATTAATGGTTGGTTTGGTTACATCATCAGATTACCAAATTAACTAGAGGGAGTCTCATTTATCCTGCAAGCTCAGATATATCAGTGGAAATTTACAAATACTATTTTACTTGATGCCTCAATTCATTTAAATACCTTAGAATAATTATGTCAAATAATTTTGTTTGCAAACATAA